GTCCGGCCGCTGGGCGCGTGCCCGTCGGGTCACCGCGGGCTCCTCTGCTTTTGGGGTGGCGTCCGAGGTCCGGGCCGGACGCCCGAGGTCACCTCGCTGCAGAGGCCAGCTTTTCCCCTTGGAACAAAGTGGCGGAAGTTCTGCAGGCTGAGGTGGAGTTCAGCCGACGCGGAGTTCGCGCCTCCTGGGTGCCGCCGGGTCTAGGCGCCGCGGGCCCGGGACTGGACAGAGTGGACAGCACCCCCTGCCCGCACGAGGCGTCCATTCTGAAAGAAGACGCAGCAACAGGAGTGAATCAAGTGTGCGCTTACTGCTTCTGTGGCGTGGAGACCACTCGTGTGGACCTGGGTGCCTTAGAGTTCAATGGCCGGTCCTCCTGGCGTGCCTCTGGGTGGACTCGAATGACCAGACTGCTGGTTAGCAGCCGAGCGCAGTCATCTTTGCACCACGTGGGGAACCCCTCCTGTTTAGCATCCATTCAGTTGAGACGACCCTGAAAAGACCATTACCTGAAACAGGTGCACCTTAGTCTTCAAACTGACATCGTTGCTCCTCTGTCATTCTGTCATTTGGCGCGGCCCCTGAGAGCAGGCTGCAGGAAGACAGAAGACGCGATGCGTGTGCGCTGTGGAGTTGTAGTACTGAATATCCCAGGAACAGAAACATGTCTTGGAGAAGGTGCCACCTGGGTGCTCTTAAGAGGCAGGGATAGTGAAGCTTCGTCTCACATACTTCAGTGTATGTTGTGAGCAGAAGGCTATTCCTTGGAGAGGGACATCGTGCTTGTGAAGGGGAGGGTCGGCGAGGAGAGGAAGACCCTCCGAGGTGGATTGACACTGTGACTGCAGCAGTGGGCTCAAGTATGTCAGAGAGGAGGATGAGGACACAGGATGGGACAGGGCTCAGGGTCGCTGTTCACAGTGTCGCTATGATCGCACCTAGCAGCAACCCCAATTGAGATGCATAGTGACCCCACAGGACACACAAGGGTTTCCTAGCCTGTGAGCCTTTACAGGATCAGATGCCCAAATATTTCCCCCAGAGAGAAGTTGCAGGATTCAAAGCACCACCCAGGGACGCTTCAGTAGCATTGCTGCTTGCTGTGGGCCCTGCAGGACTTCCTAGGCAGTCAATCTTTGTAGAAGCAGATTGGTAGTTCTTCTCTCTAGTTGGGCCAGTCAAACCCCAGACCGTTCTCTTAATCAACTCAGTGAGTTACCTGTTTGACTACTCAGGGACTCTTCCTAAGCACTAGCCTGAGGGAGTCCAATTGAAAGAACTTCCCTGGAGTTTAGATTTGAATATAGGTAATAGACCACATGCAAGTAAGATGAATTCATACCTTTCTCACCAGGTATTGTTTGAACTGAGACCTGAGTTTCCTGAGGGGATCCAGAGCTGGGAAGAGCTTTCCAGGGGGAGGAAACTGCAAACACAAAGATCCGGTACTACTGCTGGCTGCTGGACAGTGGAAGGCCAGTTCAGCTGCTGAATAGTTGGGGGGGGGGGAGGGAAGAGGGGCGATGGGGGCTCAGAATGGTCTCTAAGGTGTCAACTCCATTCCCTGCATCCAAAGCATTCCCTGGGACTACTGTGACACCCTGGAGATGGGAGAAAGGCAAGAATGACTGAAACTCAGAAACAGCCCATAGTCTAGTGGCCAGTGTGCTCTGTCCAAGGAATGGATGTGACATGTTAAAGCTTGTTACCACTAGAGAGGGCCCCTTTCCCCACCTGTATTGTGAGATAAAACTCCAGGCCCCCCTCTTCCCCCCCGTAAAAAGCTCCCTAAATCTTCCAGGGAATACAAAGATACTTAAAAAGTGAAATCCTATGTCTCCCCTCCCCTCCATTTGTTTCTTGATAACCCTGGTGGCTTAAAGTGTTAAGGGTTGGACTGCTATCTGAAAGGTTAATGGTTCAAACTCATCAGATGCTTCTGGGGAGGAAAGATGGGAAGTCTTCTGTAAAGATTTACAGCCTCACAAATCCGATGGAAGTTGACCCCACTGTTGACCTCAGAGATTGTGGGTTGGTTACAAGAAGCACTGGGGGTATAGTAGTTAAAACGCTTGATTGCTAGCCTCAAAGTCTGCAGTTCAAACCCAGCAGCTGTTCCTCAAAGGAAGGATGTAGGTTTGTAGCCTCAGAAACCCTACAGTACAGGACAGTTCTATGTCTTCTAGGGTTGCTTTGAGGGGAGTCTGTTTCAGATGCTCCTGTGGACCTGTGGTTAAGGGGTTCGGTTGCCTAAATTAGAGTTTGGCAATTTGAACCCATCCATCCCTCTTTGGAAAAAAAATTGAAGCAGCCTGCCCATAAAGATTGACAGCTTCAGAGACCCTCCAGGGCGCTTCTGTCCTGTAAGATCACTAGGAGTTGCAATTGACTTGACAGCAACGGATTTGCTTTGGAGTCTGGCTTTTTCTTTCCTTGGAAAGTCCAGTGGCCTCTTCCCTACAAAGTTCACTGCTAGTCCAAAGACCACATGGTCTTTCTAGCAAGGCTGATGGGTGTTGTTACCACTTTCTGCTTTTGGTTCTCAGGTGGAAGGTAGCCTGCAAAGAGAAGTTCTCCTCCCTGTTTTAAAGTGTTCCTTACTGGGTGTGGTCATTTATCACCTCATCTTGTTTAATTACCTTCAGAGCCAAGACATTGCTCTGCCAACCCAATGGACACCAGTTCAAATTCACCAGCTGCTCTACAGGAGACAGATGGGCAGTCTCCTCCTCCCGTTAGTTCCGTTTCAAGCCTCTGAAAACCCGCTGAAAGGTCAGCTATGCGTTGGTTGGTACTGACAGGTTGGCAGTGAACAAGGAGATGGGACACTAACCTAGCTGACATTGTTTAGTTATACGTGGACCTGTTCCGTCTTGTCCCTTCACCTCCTTATGTGCTGGCCTCAGGAGTCTCAGGGTGAGAGAACTCCTGTGCATATAGGTGAGGTCTCCCCACCTGTAGTCCTCTCATGGGCCCCGACGTGCCAGAAGTTTCTAATGGAAACAGAGGCAATGAATGTAGTGAAATGCGCCCGGTCCTCTAAAGAAACACCCATTTAGGGCTAAGTACAGTCTCTTACATGGGGGTTTGGATTGCACTGGTCTTTCACAATCCAGTTTTGATATAAGACAAAATACGTTTTTTTATTTCTTTTTTCAAGTTTTCATTAGCATTGCCATTTCCCACCATTATGATCGATCGACCTTTATTATCAGTGTTTTATGACTCTTAAGGGCGCTCTGGCGGAGTCTGCGGGGCGTTGCACTGCTGAGCCAAAGGCTAAGTTTCTCGGCAATTGGGTTTTCCCCTTGGGAGAAAGCAGCCGTCACCTCCTGGGATATTTACAGCCTCAAGGGCAATGAGTGAGGATTTCAAGGTGGTAGTGTTTGTTTTTTAAATAAATAATAACTTTGAACATCTGTGAGTAAGCCTCTGAGAATGATAATATCAGCAAATTATGTGCAAACATTAAGCATGGTGAATATCACTATTGAGAATATATTTTAAAAAAAAAGAGAGAGAGACATGCAGAGCTGGGGCTTTAGTTTAGAGGTAGCTGGGAAGAACTCCCGCTAGAGATTTCCTGATTAAGGAGGAACTAAAGGTCGGGGTGGCAGCTCAGAAGGGAGTTGTGAGGTGGAAGGGGGCCTGGTTTCCCCCTCTTCAGCTCCTAGGAACACCCCTCCCCTCTCTTCATTTCCTAGGGTCTAAATCCTGTCTTCTGCACAGGGCTGAAAAATTAAACAGACCCTCCTGTGGGCCTGGGAATCCCTGTCCCCAGCCCCAGCGTCCTGGAATACCTCTGGCCCCTCAGTTATTTTTCTCTACCCTTTTTTTGGCCAAGGCGTCTGAGATGCACCAAGCCATCCCCAGCCCTGTTTTATAGGCAGGTAAACTGAGGACCCAGAGAGAAAGGACCTTGTGAAAGGTCACAAAGGAAGCCAGTGGGGTATCGGAGACCCTGGCTTCTCATCCCCACAGGGTCTGCAAGCACCACGGAAGACGCCCCTAAAGTGTGTGACCTTTACAGCGTTTCCGAGTGTATGTCTGAAAACGGAGATGGTTTTGCCCACTGTTGTAGGGATGCAACGGAAAGGTTGCTCCTTCCACAACAAAGCCAAGGCTGCTGCCGGCTGCTGTATGGTTACCATGTGGCCCAAGGTTACCACAGATGGCCCCATTCCCCCGGCCCCTGGTCCTGATAATCTGCTTCCTGACCCCATGTGTTGGCCTATTCTATTCATTCTTTATGTAAGTGAAATCTTTTCTGTTTCTAAATAAGGTCACAGTCTGAGGTTTGTGCGGATGTATTCGGAAGGCCCCTATCCACCTAGCTCTGTGGCCTGGCCCGTCGGGAGTTGTGCCACTCACCTGAAGGTGGCTGGCTGGGCTCTGCCAGCACCTCCCTGAGAGAAAGATGGGCAGTGTCCTCTCCTGTGATTTACAGCCTCTGAAAGCCCCCTGGATGATCGGCTAGGACAAGCTGGTTCCACTTGACAGCTATGAATTGAGGTTGTTTTGATTCAGCCCCCAGCAGTCTCCAAGTGAATCTGTGGGCCTGGAGCTCAGAGC